GGTTAACCCATGGGTTTGAACCAGGCAATCCGAATTGTGTTGGAGACCTTGACGTTCCTCCATTAATTGACCCAATACAAGATCCTCCTTTCTTCAAGTGCTGATAATTATTAGGCTCATATTGCTCATGGCAAATATTGGCTTGTCTTCCTCTATTCCCTGATGATCCTTGTTTCCTTGAAATGTGCTCTTGCTTTTGCTTATAATTATAGGCTTCAAGTTTCTGTCAAAGGAAGGATATATTTGAGTAGGGTGTATATGTATTTGTAAAGGAAAAAAATTACTTTGTTATCCACTTTACTAAATCAGTAAGATATCAACGACAGTGGATCATGTACAAAAGATTGGCACCCGTTGCTAATTAATTAATCACTCTAGAAAACTTATAAACGCAATAACAAGTGCACAATACATATACTATATATTGGTATCCGACACCAGCGAATCGCTGGAGAAACTTATTAACAGTAAAAAAAAAAACTACCCAAAAATTAGTGGTTAATTATTACCTGAATATCTTGGCTCTGACCGGAAGCTAGATCTTGCTTTGAGCAAAATCCAACACCTGGGTCTACTTTTGCACTTGCGTTTATTCCCTGAGGATGACGTGACCCTTCGTTGGTTGTAGTTGTATCTAACTTGTCCAACTTTCTTAAAACGTCGGCGTAGGTACACCTGTTCCGGGCTTTGTCTTTGCCTGGTGTTTCTGGTGGCGTTGGTTCAAGAGATGACCCTTCAGAGCTGCCATGGCAAGACCCCAACGGTGGCCACACTGAGTACTGTGGCCAACCAACGGACTGAAAAAGAAGAAAACTCAAATCAATTAACCACATAATATTATCAACAATTTGTAGACAGGTGCCGATATCGTGCATATATATATAAGTACTGATTTTTAATTATGTGTTTACCTCTTGGTTTTTCTGAGAGCTAGTAGTATTGGTTTTGTCGTGATCATCCTGAAGCATGTAGTTAGTCATCTGGCGAGTTAATTCGGCAACGTAATCGTCGTCCCCATCAGTAGTAGTCTCTGTCCACTGATCAGATGAAACAAGTTCAGAATCCTCAAGTGCTGAAGATGAAGAAGTTGAACTCAAATCTGATGAGCCAATAAATCCTTTGTAATTATAGTTAGCAGCTGCTTCACGAATATCCCAGGCCTTGGTATCTGTTTTGGAGCACTCAAAATCCATCATGTTAATTAAGTACTAATCAACTTTTGTTTTAATTAATTAGCAGTAACACTAATTAACTTGAACAAAAGATGATGGAGGTGAAGAACTGATCAGGTGGATTTATATTGGAGAAGAAAGATCAAAGATCAATGTAATTATATGATCAAAAAGCACCTCAAGAAAGCTAGAATACGGATCAAATTGTTTGCAAAGTGAGTTTGGGTGGGACCCGGAAGCTAATTAAGTGGGTCCAGTGTCACACTGTAGCTGGATGACTTGTTTGGTGTGTTGTGTTTTATAAGAGTTAGAGTTTGGTAGTTGGAAAGTTTGCCCAGCTGTGCTATATATCCTCCTCCCATTCGTTAGATATATTTTGCGGTGGCCTATATCCACCGAATCCACCGTAAACCTAAATATCTTTAGTTATTGTGTGCTTATCATATTGCACATTCAAGTTCGGGTTTTCTTCACTGTAATTTCGATAAATTAGTATAGAATACTGATCTAACCACATAATATTGTTATTATGAAATTTCATACTCGCCCATTACACATAACTATATAAATAAGTTTGCAAACAAATTTTCTGATAATTCTTTTAATACGAATTTGCTTAGCGATACTGTTATCATGTTCTTATTCAGTAAACTGTTTCTTGACATTTCTTCCTTCAAATTGATAATATCTGAAACGGATTCTCAGTCTATTTATTAACGTGGTTAGAAGTGGTTAGGGTTGGTCTTTCATTACCACCAATATATATGGTTGAGGGTTGATGTGGGTTCAGTATTGACTGGTTCTATTATTTGGTCACCGCAGCATTTCTTTTCATTGTTTTTTCCTCCGTGTTTTCTTCCAATTTTTCTTCCAATTTTTCTTCAGTTGCTTGCGACGCGCACGACAAGTACGGTTCAACAATTGCATGGAACGAGGGAGGCATAGCAAATTTGGGGTACCTCGACCTTATGACTTATAAATTTAGCCCACTTCTGCTGCCTGCATGAATCCGTACTTTCTAATCTTTATAATTGGCGATTATTCAACAATCCATTAGGTCATGGCCCACACTACTAAAACTTTTCGGCTGGTATATCGTATCAATTGAAGCCTTTTTGTATAATTAAGTAGATCTAGCTACCAAGGTTGCCTTGCCCAACCCGATAACTTTCATTGTTGGGCTCTCTCATGGTCGAAGCCTAAAGTTTTTATTGCCATTGTTGTCACTATTAAACCATGTGAGTTTCTACAGTGAGAGGTATTTGTGTTCATGGGTTGCGCGTGACCATGATAGTGTATTGATAACGTATTTCCACCATGTTGAGATATAGATATTGTGTAGTCATTACATGCATTGTCAATACGGTGAAACACACGGGTCATGCGCACAACCTATGTGCCCAAGTCAGAGAGAATTTTTCTAAATGAGATGTGTGTATAGAGTTGTTTGATCAAACTAAGCGCTAAAATATAAATAATTTACACTATACAAATAGGTCAAATTAACTCTCTATACACAGAATGACGCAGGTCAACAACACAAACAACAAGAAACAATTTCACAAGGATGATATAGCAACAATTGAACAATGAGATATAGCGATGATCAATCTTTGCCGTATAATGATCTATTGATCCAGGATGAAAGGGAAACTGCCGAGTTTAGTTTGGAATGCTTTCGAAAATCAAATTTCCAAATCTGTGTGACCTTGATCTGGAGGAAAATTTGGAGAAAAACTATTTTAGTTTGAGAGGGGATTTGGATGAAGATAGGTGGACCAAATAATATTTTATTGAGATTTTTTTCTTGTTAAATACCTTTGGTTCGGACGATAGATGAATATTGGACCACAAAGAAGTTTCCATGTAGACGCATCCAATTTGGAAAGAAAAAGTAGATGAAGATGTAAACTCGAAACCTTCTATTACTTCAAGATTCAACGGTAATCCAAGAGAGAGATATAAATACGAATTCTTCTAATGAGCAATATAAATCCGGTTGAACATTAGCATTTGTCTCCCTTTGTCGAAATGATTGGATTGAACCAATACAAACGATTGGATTTGAAAAAATAACCTATAAATTCAAGGTATATTGAAAGTAAATGAGAATGATTTTTTATTTTGATGGGATTAGAAAAAAAATTAGACATGAATCAAACTTCTCCCTGCTAATTGTCTCATTTTGGGAAGGTTGGAATAGATAACTTTTCTTCTTAAGTAATCATTTTCCTACCTCTAAGTTGTTTCACATTTTTTTTAATTTCTTCACCAACATTCTTAAAAATAATTCATGTATTTATCATTACATTATGTTAATAGACTCATGTTTACTTAACATAAATATGAAAAAGATGAATCGTAGAGCTTAAAGTAGGAGAAGTAAGGAAAGGAAATAAGATCAACTAGCCCCTCGTTGATCAAATTCCTTATTTTTAGGTATTTAATTACAGAATTTAAAGGAAAACTTGCACTTTTCGATTCTTTAAGTGTAAGTAAACGCAGAGAAAAGTTAAAGAATGAAATCATTCATTTACCCATATTTTAGTACACACATGGACATCTAGAATCAAAATGATTCTAAACATGTCCAATTTCGAATGTCAAATTCTAATTCCTTGCGTGTATGATACTATGCCAACTTTGACTTAGTCAAAACATTTAGCCTATGTTTTTGGATGAGGAAATTCCAAGTTCCAAGAGATTGAGCGCATTTAAAACAAAATGTTAGATGAAGGGGTTAGAAAAGCCTTCTCCATTAGAATTGCAAAAGTATATAATTGAAAGAAGCATTTACAAATATCTTACGCATACTTTTACAATGATACAACATTTTTAATAACCTTTATCTAATATTTATGGTCATTTTCTTACTAACTTGGCCTCAATCCTTTCGAGCTTAGAATTTCTCAGTGAAGACATTTAGAATTTCTCAGTTATGTCTTCACTTTATTACAAAGTGACATGGATTTAAAGTTGTAGAATAATCAGAAGAATAAAAATACAAAGAAAAGTTAGACAAGAAAACAGGGCGGTTTCAAACTTTCAAAGTTTCAAACCTTCCGGGAGATTATTCTTATTTATCTTCAGTCTCCACCCGAATTGTACTATACACACAGTTGCTTCATCAAGTGGACTGTTTGCTGAGATGTCTTGCTCAATATTCAATCAAAGGGCCGCTCTCTCAATCATTATCATTAAGGAATTGATCATATACCTTTACATAATACAGTTGCCAAGTTGGACCCGACGACAAACAGTCCCCAACACATAAAATAACAGATCATTATGTCAAGACTCATGAGTGACATGTTTGCGACCAAAGTTTTGAACTGGGATTATCGTACTGTCACATAATTTAATATATATATATATATATATATATATATAGACGGTAAATTATAATTCATGTTAAAAATTTACTTGTCATATAATGAGTTTATACTTTAAGATAAAATACTGCATTCCGTAATATACAAGACTCTAATATTATGGGTCGGTATGACCAAATAGAACTTAAAGAGACAATTGTTTTGAGTCCCTTATTTTCTCAAGACATAGAAATGAACCAAATCCAGCCACATTCTCAGGAGGTACAAATGAACCAAACCGAGCCAAAGTATTCACAACTCTATTTACTAAACGAACCTAACAGTGGCACACTCGCAGTTCATACAATTTGTTTGCCTATGCGAGTAACTTCAAAATTTGGGGTAAGCAATCAAACCACATAGTTTCTAACTTTTTACGCATGTGGCATGTGGCGTGGATTACAGATATACATCAAAATACAAGGCTCTGTTGACTTTAATATGCAAAGCCTAACTACCAAAAGTTCAACGCTCATATCTATCTACTAGTTTTTTTGCTATTGTACTCCTTGGTATTGCCATAAGTTGTTCAACTATCAAGTATCAAGGCTGAAGGCTCTCCAACATTTGTTTGTAATTCACTCTAATTGGTTTGGTGTTTTTCGATATCATGACAAGGGATAGGAAAATAGGGGTAGCCGTAGATTTCTCAAAAGGATGCAAGATTGCTCTAAAATGGGCCATCGATAATCTGAGCCATGAAAAGGGCGATACCTTGTATGTCATCCATGTCATGCCCTCCCAAGGCGCAGAGAGTCGCAGCATTCTTTGGTCTTCAACCGGATCACGTACTCTACTATAATTTTCATGATCTTATTGCTTCAAAATTTTATCTTATTTATTCATTATATATAGTATTTTCTGTCTTATGATTTTGATTTGTTGAGCGTGTGATTGGATGTTTGTTTGTAGCTCTGATTCCGTTCACGGAGTTCCGCGAAAAATCGGTGATGGAGAAGTACGAGGTTGAGCTTGATGCAGAGGTCGTGGAGTTGCTTGAGACTGCGTCTAGGCAGAAACATGTATGTGTTGCTTCTGCATTCATCCCCACTTTAGTTAATGTAATTGCCGGACAATTAATTTGAACTATTAATTATGCTGCTTCTTGTTAAAATCTGTGACTCGACAACAAATATATTTATCAAACAAAATAAACTTAAAACTTGACAGATATCTAACCTATTATGTTAGACAGTTAGTCTATTATCAAACGTTAAAACGAGAATTCAATTAACGAATGATCTTGGTAGATCATTTGACACGACACAATATCTGACTGTCTAATAAGAGGACATTTCTAATAATAATATATAGGTGACTGTCGTGGCGAAGCTCTACTGGGGAGATGCAAGAGAAAAACTTTGTGGGGCAGCTGAAGAACTAAAGCTTGACTGCTTGGTCATTGGCAGCAGGGGCCTTAGTACCATCCAAAGGTAAATTAACATAAAACCATACATTAGTATACGCTACTACAGAAATCTGTTTTTCCAACGAAAGCTTATTCGTCGCACAAAGAGAAATTTCGTCGCTTGAAAATGAGCAACGAAAATTCCGTCACCCCACTGTATTTGGGCAAAGTTTGAGACGCAAACCTTTGCACGAAAAATCTTTATATTTCGTCACGCAATAGACTTTGCGCGATGAAATTTAGATCTGAAAGACTTCGTCTTGTGAAACTTATCACGACGGAAATACTTTGTTGCTCGAAACTTTAGGCAACGAAAAATAATCCATCGTTAAAAAATAAGGTGACTCGTGAAACCTATAGTGACGCAAACACTTGATGCTCCATATTAATTAGAATCATAATTCACAGTATTAACCTTGGTATACATTTATTTTTGTTGAATATATGTTAGGGTGCTGCTGGGAAGTGTGTCCAGCTACGTTATGGCAAATGCAAAGTGCCCCGTTACCGTTGTCAAGGATCATAGTGTTTGATTGGATGTTGAATTGCTTGTAGCAAAATGTTAATTTTATAAATGCAAAGTCCAAGGATGTGTTCAATAATTTAATCTTTGTTTGTATGAAACTACGCATTGCTGTATCCAGTTTGGATAATGATTTGAATTATGTGTGTGGTTCCCTATTTGCATTTAGTTATATTTATAAAAGAATGCTTTTGATGTGTGAAGTGCAAAATTAGCCCTAAAACATGAGAAACCTCATCATGCTAAATTATGATTAATTTTGCCAAATCAAACAAGAGACGACAATGAATACTTATCTACTTTGAAGGAAAATTCTTAAAAACCTAATCCCTTTTTTCTCCCATTTTTTCTCTCAAACTATGTGACACTCAATATTGTACACTACATTAGATTGGAAAGCAAAATTATATAGACCACCTTTTTCTGCCACACTACTGTGTCATTTCATGTGGCAAGTGATGTGTACAAGTCGCGTCAATTAATGAATTTATGTCATTGGTTATTGGTTGTAAACATCACTTGTCGCATGAGATGATACACTAATGTGGTATAAAAATGTAATCTCTCTAACATTACTCTTATATCGAGGGCCTCCTTATTTGAGTGACACTATTTTGGTTGTCAAACCTAATCCCTTGGATAAATATATATGGTTGGCTTTTTTTTTTTTTTTGTCAAACGATAGAAATTACATGGATTCTCCTAAGAAACATTTACATCTTGAGCAAGAGGATTAAATGCCCATTTGGAAAATAACAGATCCCATTTATGCGCACCTCCAGCTTTTGCTACATATATGTTTGGCCTTTTAGTCGGCCTAAAGTGTTCGGATATTTTCTTATGCCAATTGCCAAAGGGTTATAGTTGCTAGTTTTATCATATGGATACTTTTAGACACTCAATATTAGAGAACTTTGAGCAATTAATTATGAAGAGAAAGATTGCAAGCATAAAAATGATCCACTCAAGCAGCATGCACGTGACTAGAGATTCAAATCAGTTAATCACTACGGCTTCTTAATTTGTTGTTCTATCAATTAAACTTAATAACTTGAGTTAATTCAGAAATTTTCCCTAAAGTAAAAGCTGGTTTATAATATATGTTTATATGTTAATCAAACATCAACAAGTCGTTGTAGTATAGTGGTAAGTATTCCCGCCTGTCACGCGGGTGACCCGGGTTCGATCCCCGGCAACGGCGCATCACTTTTGCTTTTCCTTACTTTTTTTCTTATGTCTTTCTCCACAACTTTCAAACTCTCACATGTCTTTTGCTTGTATCCCCTTCCAAGTTCCTTGCCTGAAAAAACACGTTACCCACATAAACACACACGCTAAACCCCCGATTCCAAATTTCAATCTTCTAAACCACTCCACAATCATCAACACACCTTAAAAAATTCCCATTAAATCACCAAAAAAGAACCAAAAAAAAAATGTTTTCTCCCTTTTCTTTTCCACCACCTACACCGCCACCAAACCCACGAATCCGGCAATGTCCGCCACACCACGGTGCTGTCCAATATCCACCACTCGCATCCACATAATGGCCTTAGATGGAATCGTCAATGTCAATTCACTCTTCTCATTCGCCCTCTTCGTCGGCCTAGCGTTTTACCCCACCACTGACCCCGCCGACATGCTCATCGGCTCCAACATGGCCTGCGCCGCTGGGGCCTCCTCCGCCGAGGGCCTCATTGCCTTCCACGTGTACTCCTTCAGCTCCTTCCTTTTCTCCAGTCTCGTTGCCTTGGCCCTCAAGCAAGCCATCAAGATCAGCAGAGACATTGGGGAGGACAATGGCGACGGCAGCTCAGTCTCCCACATAGGTCATGTGAACCGGGTGGCTTTGCGGGTCGGGACGCTGGTTTCAGCGTTCGGCTCGGTTTCGGGTTGTGGGTTTTTGGTGGTGGCGCTGGTGGACTTGGTTCAGATCAAATTGGGGAGGTTGGGTTGTGGGAGTCTGTACACTTTGGCTGCAATTGGTCCTCTGGTGACTTTGGTTCCTCTAGCTCTTGTTATATATGTTTTTCTTGTGCTACAAGCTTTTACTAGATAGAAAAGTATTATCAATAAAAAAAGGAAGTTAAAATTGTACAATTTCTTTGCATCTTTAATCATATTTATAAATTGCATGTACATAAATTTAGTATGCAGAACATCATTTTGAAAAAATCTCAGTTGTGATCAATTACATTAACCAATAGATTGATACATGTGATTATTTAGGGTGTAGTATCTTCCTTTAGAGTTTCGATTTTGGGTTCTAAGTATGAAGTTGTGAACCAATTTGAGCTTAGAATCCTAATTCTAAGCTTAAAATTGTGAGTTTAGGTTTGATTATCAAGGGTATAGAATCGCCTTTTAAATTTTTGGTTTTAGGTTTTAAGTACCAAACATATTCAATTCGGGAATAGAGCTCTAAAGTTTAAGCTTTAAATGACGATTTTAAACACTAAAACAAGCAACCAAGATTGGGTAAAAATGAAGTTTTCTCAACGCGTCCGTACCATCGCATTGTGTAGACTAATGTTAAGTAAAAAGTACATTAAAGTTGGTGTTTATGTGAATTTACAAAGGATTAAAATTTGGATAAGTAGGCTAATAATATTAATTTATGAAGTCAATGGATGTTGCTTGTTTTACAAGGTTCGTTAATTCTTCATAAACAATCTATCGAGATTGGCAATTTTTATAGAAACTGCTTCTCTTGAACTTGTAGCTTTGTCGATGCCCCTGTGCAAATACCATTTGAATCAGAAACAGAGGAAAAACATCTCATTTCGTCACTTTTCCAAATTTTGGTATAGTTGTTTTTCTTGCATACTTCTTCCATGGCAAAGGATTCAGTTACTCTGCTCAATTTTCGTGGTCTTTGCGGCATCGTTTCGCTGTTTTGTGTCTGTTCATTATTCTCATTCATTTACTGGTACAGTTACCATAGTCCATGCTACTCTCTATACCCAAAAATGGAGCTGAACCGAAACCAAATCAACGACCTACTTGCATTCCCTTCAGCATGGAACCAGCTTGCTTTTTCCTCAAAGCCGCCTCCGAAGCTTCTTAAAATCGCTCTGTTTGTCAAGAAATGGCCTCATAAATCTCAAGCAGGAGGGCTGGAACGGCACGCCTTGACCCTCCACCTTGCCCTTGCCAAAAGAGGTCATGAGCTTCACATCTTTACCGCTTCTCCTTCTTCGAATTCCTCCTTTCCAAGGTACGCGACAAGAAATTTGTATTTTCACCTCTCAAAACCAACAGCTGCTGGTTATCTGGACCAAGCTGTGGTTTGGAAGATGTTTCAAACTCAAAACTCAACAGGAAAGCCTTTTGATGTGATCCACACGGAAAGCGTTGGCCTCCTGCACACTCGATCGCGTAACCAGACAAATCTGGCTGTTTCTTGGCATGGGATTGCATATGAAACTATACATTCGGACATCATACAAGAGCTTTTGCGGAGCCACGAAGAACCACAAGGGTATGCATTGACTGAAAGAATTATGAAGGTTGTTGAAGAGGTGAGGTTTTTCCCCAGTTATGCTCACCACGTTGCTACCAGTGACCATGTCGGAGATGTACTCAAGAGGATTTACATGATCCCTGATGATCGTGTTCACATTATTCTTAACGGCATTGATGAGGAGATTTTCAGGCCAGACATTGCCAAGGGGGAGGATTTTAAGAGAAAGTTTGGGGTGCTGGAATCTAAGACTTTAGTTCTGGGAATGGCTGGGAGGTTGGTGAGGGATAAAGGGCATCCGCTGATGTTCGAGGCATTGAAGCAAATGCTCCAGGAAAATGATGCATTTAGGCAAACTGTTGTTGTTCTGGTTGCTGGAAATGGTCCTTGGGGTGCAAGGTACAGAGATCTCGGAGAAAATATACTAGTTTTGGGGCCACTGGAACAAGCTCAACTTGCTGAGTTCTACAACGCAATTGATATTTTCGTCAACCCGACTCTTCGCGCTCAGGGATTGGATCATACGTTATTGGAGGCAATGCTCTCCGGGAAGCCTGTAATGGCAACGAGGCTTGCCAGCATTACTGGCTCTGTGGTTGTTGGTACAGAAGTGGGATATACATTTTCGCCAACAATAGCTTCACTAAAGAAGATCCTCTATAGAGTTTGGAGTGATGGCAGAGGTGATTTGAAGCAGAAAGGCCAGGCAGCAAGGCAGAGAGGCTTGCAATTGTTCACTGCTATGAAAATGGCGGCTGCTTACGAAAGGCTTTTCCTCTGCATATCCAATGATGAGAAAAGTGCGGAGAACTATTGTCAATATAATCTGTAGTCCCTGAGACTGATCGTGGCATCATCTTGTCACCGGATTTTCAGCGTTAGAAGCAAAACTTTTCTAACAAAGAATCAGCATAAGGATAAAGGGCGAGATAGGATTGGAGCTGTGTCTTGTTGTGGTTGAGAATCCAACTCTGGACTAGGCGAGCTAGGGTTGAAGCTGTATCTTGTTGTGGTTGAGAATCCAACTCTGGATTAGAGCTGTAAGTGTCTTTAACAATTTCTATATACATTAAATTGGCTGATTAGCCAGGTTTCTTATGACAATTTGTTCTCTGCTAAAATTCCATGTATTGTCTAAATATTTAGAACGAACAAGGTTCAATTTTGATTGACCAGCAACCATGAACACTTTTAATGGAATGGAGATGCATTTACTCTTCGGGAAACCGTAGATGTATCATAATGTTAAAACACATTTCATAAGAAACTGTACTCACTTCAAGCATATATGTTCACAATGAAAGAGCAAGTGGCTCATATCATTCGCCTGTGAGGCATCCACGGGCTTTAATTTAACAGAAAAAAAGAAAGAAAAAGAACTTCCAAAACTACACACTGAAACAAAGTCCAGCGGAGAACCATCATCTTGATAAAAAGTCCAATGAAACAGTTGCCATACCGACATAAAAGTTTGCACTTCATGTCCAGCATCTTTCGCAGCCAATGCGCACCTCAGCCGCTTATTTATATTACGCTTTCATACTTAAAAACCCAGGCCTAGTGAATTCCTGCAAAATGGAAATAGATAAGATCTTATTACATCAGCTACTTACGTGCCTCGCGTGATATCTTCACATTATGCCAGGCTTCGTGAATTTGTATAAATTGACAAGAGGAAAATAGAGATTGCGATTATTTATCATATGAAAGAGAAACGCAATGCTAAAAGACTTTTGATTTAATTAAAGTGTTGAAACAATAAGAGAATCGATTTCGAGAAAAAGGATCTAAGAGTGAATGAACATACCTAGAAAAATAGATGAGAATTCATACGGCCAGGGAAGGCAAGGTCCTAATAATAGAGTGAACCTGCAGAACCGCAAGTCAGAAGTCCAGACACTGATCTACTCTACAACGTAGATCAAATTATTAATACTACTAATTTCGTCTCCAATATCAGTACCTTGCCACCAATTTCCTCGGGCAGCACTGTTCGAGTTGATTCCATTTGGATCATCTTCTCCCCCATCTTTCTTGAACTAATTCAGTCACAAATAACAAACAGAATCAGTTTCTCATATCCTTTAATCCGTTAATCATGCTGATAACGTCGGTATATGTCTACATATTATGTGATTGTCAACTTATCAAGACTCACTATTGGATAGGATCCAGAGGCATGGGTACTTGGGGACTGGGAATACACCTCTTGCCCACCATAGTAAATAGATGAACTTAGATGACATGGTTCTGCTCTTTCTTCCTGAAGGACTGAACTCCGGTCCTTGTTGGGTAAGCTATAGTGTGCACCCTCGCCAGTTATAGCTATATATTTCGAGAAAAATGCAAAGGCCGAGGCAATAAGCTTTAAAAACAAAGTTCAATATCCAACATCAAGAGGTTGTAGAGCATTGCAAAATAAACGTACTGTAATCTATATACATTCAACAAGATTTCTTCCAGTTAGGAGTAATACGAGAAATTCCACATTAAATAGTCATATGCCACTTACCACAGAAAAAGTGAGATATGAGAAATGAGATTAATTAAGCATAAGTTATTCCATTTACAAGTTTGTTAGTCGGAAACTTTAGACATGGTACAAAATCAACACTAGCTTCGCTTTCAAAAAAGTATGAACACAAAAATAAAGAAACCAAAATCAGTATAATACAACCCTGCAGTACCTTGCTTGGAGTTCCATGCATGATTTCCCAAGGACGACTGCTTCTGCCAATATTCTGTCAGCTCAGAGCTTGAAGAGTTCCTCCCAACCACCTTAAAATTACGTAAAAAGTCATACACAAGAGCATATATATCCAACAGAAGATTTAGTCTGTGTATCTTAATGACCAAGGAGACTTTCACTTGACAGAACACTGACAAGCAAAGGTGTACAATGGGCCGGACCGAGCTGGTCTTTTGCTTGGAGAAATTTTTAATTGTGACGGGAATACGGATGGTACATCACGTGTTTTTATGTAAGTGGTGGAAAATTTTACTTTTTAGGTTATTAACTTTTTAACACACATAATCCACCATTTGTATAGTGATACGTGGTGTACCACCTCGTGTACTGGTCACATTGAAAAATCTAGCGCCGGCCCGCATCCTTCAAAAGATCAGTCCGCTTAAAGACGGCCAGTTGTACACCTCCATTAACAATCACCCCCGTTTTTCCGTCCACTGAACTAGAGAATAATGCTATACGAAAGAGCCATGAGTACTATGAGGAAAAAAGTGCTTTTTGTTTTGGGTTGTCAGCTCTCCCCCATTTTGGAAAAACTTAACCAACAAATATGCTCTGATCCCAAATCAACGTCTTGCGTAAAAAAACCATAAAACTTTTTCTTTCCCACTTTTGGTATTTCTCTGCCAGATTTTACTTTTCCTTGCTAAGCAATTTTCAGTTCACTATTATAAAGTCAAGAAATTTATAAAACTTTATAATACCAAAGCATATGCATGCACCCAATAAAGAAAATCCCTGGTAACCAAAATCCATCCTTTCCCAATTTCTAATGTTAAATCAACTTTGTTGTTAAGTTGGCTAAACCAGCGTGCTTTTCTTATGCACTTAAGTTCGAATGTCCCTCTCAGTAGTTTATATTAAATTAGATTGGAATATCACTCCAAATCAAAATAATAAAAAAAACATTTAAATCAACCTTACACAAAAAGGAGAGAGCATAAATATATGAAGGCAGTAGAAGAATCATATGTACCTGTGATGGAGGTGGGAAAATGGAAGCAAAAATCCCAGTAGAAGACTTGGGGGCAGACTCCTTGTCCTTGGCACCAAAAAGATCAGCAGTCAATGAGGAACCTGAATTGCCTTGATTCTTATTGTTACTCTCCATTTCTTACTTCCTTTCTCTCTCTAAGTCAACCCAAAAAACCCAACTCCAGAAAAAAGAACTCTGCAAAAAAGCAGCTTCCAAGAGAAAAACCCAGTTAAAAAACAAAGCAGATCAGATTTGCAGAGGAATGAAGAAAGAAGAGAGAGAGCACGTGATAAAGATGATGCCACCCAGTATCCAAAACCCAAAATTTATATTGGCACTTGTTCTACGAAAGACGGCACTGCAGGTAGTGCCGCCCATGTCCCATCATCACCCTAAGAAAAAGCAATCCTCTTTCCGTTTCCATGCAACCAAAGAATTGTTTCTCTTTTCATCACAAAAGATTTGGAACTTGCCCTATTGTTTTCCTCGCTATGATCATCTTTCTCCCCACACAAACGTAACGGATAAGTGCCACGTGGGCTCCACTCGTCTTACCAAGTGGACGTATCACGTAGTGCCACATTTTTTCACAATGGATAATATGTAGAACGGTTGCAAATCGTAGGACTACATTTGGAGACGATCGAAAGCTTTTGCCTCGTCCTAATGCTAACTCATTAACGTATCTGTACCACCTACTCATAGCAGACGTGACACAACTTATTTAGCTAAGGCAGTGTAAATCTGCTCGACACCTATGTTTAAATCCCTCCTCCCATGGAGAAAGAAATTTTTATAAAGACACCATATGGTTAGAATTGTAGGGCACCCAAGTTTTCCTCGATGTCACGAGTGGAGAAGATTAACCAAAAACTAGAAAGATTTGAATGATTAAGAGAGAGATAGTGAGCTAGAAAATGAGCCAACACCGCATTTCTTTTTTCTTAATTTAGATTAGATTAATTAAAATATGATCGGAAGTTTCAACCCTCATACTAACTATGAAATATCTGATTGGTATTGAGACTCGATGTCTAGACTCGATTTTTATTTCATCTCCCCCAATGGCCCCCGTTGTGTGATTATATTTTGTGGGACATATAAGTTGAAGACTTCAAGTGAGGGATAGGAGAAATGAATCCAGATGCTTCTGATCCCACAAAGTGGATAACTAGATAAGCTTTGCTCTGCCGGATATGCTTCAAGTAGTGCATGGGCCAACATTCTCTTACCTATTCATATGAAGCCACCAACCCTCAAGTGTTATGTAGGACCATATATAGCTTATTCACAGGTAGAAAATCTTCAAATAAAATGTTGACAGTATATTTAGTCGTTCATTCATCCTGTTCATTCTAGATTTCATAGTTATTATGTGATTTTGCCTAGAGTATTTCACAATAAAAACGAAAGTCTTGCAATAGATGTTTAAAAGATCTTGAGGACCATAACATCAAAACAGGCTATCCACTCGCTGCGTCCACCCTCCACACATGCTTCCATCTCAAGTTCGTGAGGATGTGGGAAGTCATATTACTCTATTCGTACTACACAGGCAAGATATTCCAGAACGATGAGATGCCATGACCTAGAAAAAAAGCAGATTGTGTGAACCCGTATTATATATGCAATTTTGTTTGGATATGGGTTTGGTTTGGCGTGGGACTTCTTGTACTAAGTGGGATGCTTACGACAAAGTTGGTACAATTATTGGTTTGAAATAATATGAATTTGAACAGGTTTTGATTATTAAGTTTAAATCTTGATGTGTCACTTTTGCTTAATATAGGTCGGTTGGATGCTAGGAAAATCTCTTTTAAAGTGGAACTCTTCATAAATTCTTCATTACATTATGTTTTTGACACAATATTTTATAATGTTGACATGAGAATTGTGCAAAAAACATAATGTGACAGAGTCTATGTAGAGTCCTACTTTTGAGAGAGTCTCCTTAGCATTTCTCTTTCTTTAGCAAAAATTCTCAATCTTTTGATCATTGACGGTGGCAGAGAGTCCATAGAGAATCTCACTTTGAAAAAGCCTCCTTAGTATTTCTCAACCAAGGAAAACTCAGTGCCACATCATGTTTTTAACACAATGTTTTATAATATTAACACGAGAATTGATGTTATATTGTGAGATGATAAAGAGTCCATAAATAATCTCACTTTGAAAAAACCTCATTTGTAGTGAAGAGACACTAATCCCAACTGATAATCTTTATCTTTACTACTATAAAGCCAACACAAAGTCATCATATATTAATATTAACCTCCCACTAAGTATACAATAACAATTTAAAGTAAATGAGTAAAAGTGCAAAATAAAAGTAGCATTGTCACTTTACTTTGAATAGAAGGGTTAGAAATATGAATTATTCTCATTCGAATGTCCACTTGCAATAAAAGAATCAAAGACAGTTGGAATTCACCTGGGATTAGGATTGGCATAACGGGAAACACTAAGAAGACTCTTTTAAAAGTGGGACTCGCCATGAATTTTTTCTGTCATCTCATATTTTTGTTACAATGTTTATATTGTTGGCACGAGAATTAACATTAAACTGTGAAGTAGTGGAGAGTTCATAAAGAGTCCTACTTTGATATAATCTCTTTAGCATTAACATCAAAATGTGATGGGTCAAATAAAATGTGATGGGTCATTCTTGGTTTTTGAGGAATAAGACTTGGGAAACTTTTGTATTCCATCTTTTTTGGTTCCCCTTCTCATCGTGCAATGTTGCACAATGATGGGAATCGTCTCCTTTCTAGTTCAACCTTTAATATCAACTTTACTGAAAATCAACCAAATAAAATATCATTAGCTGTTCATTTAACTTTGTTAAAATTTAAGTGTTCAACTAAATAACAATAATCTATATCATTAGATGACTAAACGATTTAGGATTTGATTGATTTGTACCAAAGTTGACCTTTAAATGGGGACTTCGAAAATAATGGTGATCATCATACAACATTGTAGGATGAAAAGGATAGCCAGATGAGAAGGAGAGCCAAAAAAGTGAAACGAGAATGTTCAAATGAGAAAGTAACAATCTTCAAAAAATTGTAAATCAATGTTTTTCTTAGCAAGAGCTCTTACTAGAAAATTACATTACCTTAGAAAGCCCACTTTGAATTCAGTGAGGCCCAATCCAGTTTAAACCCGACCCAAAACCAAGTCATTGCTTCCAAGTATTACTGCAGCCTCTTAATTTCGGAGATTAGCAGTGCCAAGATACAAAGGGTGCAAAAACAACAATCAATCATATACATGCTCATCTATGTCAACACAGACAGGTCAAAAATTCACATGCCTTCAAGAACATTTACAAAATATGAAAAGTTCCGTTCCAAGAACTCCAATCTTCGATACTTTAAAAAGAAGGAACAATTTTACATGTCATTTTATGGGATAAACCACCTAAAGGTTTTAGCAGGCAATCCATCATCCTATAATCGGTTGGGATACAACGACCCCCTCCAATGAAGAGAAAGAAAAATTCAAGCCCTGAAACCAAATAAATTTTAATCGGGCCGATGAAATCAATATAACATCTGTGTGGTGAGAAGCGCATGCTAATTTCTACAACAGATAGAAGTAGGAGCAAAGCATAGAATGCAGACCTCAGCCGCGCATGCCAAATATCTCTTCTGGGGGATCGTACACATGCTGTTCGGGAAACAGCTCCTCAAAGTCTTGCTTGACTCTGTTTCTCAAAAGGGGATGTGGCAGAAGTCCCTTCAACAAAATCCGGAATGGCAGCTCCTCCGGTGGATCTGGAGACTGCTTCATGTCCTCATATATGTTCATCGCATCTGCTGGACAACCAGAGTTCAAAAAACCCCTGATAACTTCTGTATATGTTTGAGAATCAGGAAATAGATCCTCCTTTTTCATGCTGTCCCACAGTAGCATAACATCCTCCATTTTCTTTGATCTTGCCAATGCAATAATCAAGTCCTTGTACAGATAGACATCCGGTTTGTACCAGTCTTGCCTTCGAATCACGTTAAATACCTGAAAATTCACCGAGTCGTTGTAACTCCAATAAACAAACACATATGTTCATTGCATATGCATTTAAACAGAAATAAAGATGGTGCAGTCCAGAAGGAATTTCATTTCAAATAACGGTCTAAATCCAATTTTCCTCTTGGGTATTCTGATAAACAAGTCTGCAAAACCACAGCATACCTGCATTGTGGTTTTGCATTTAACACAGACAACAATTAAATTTGAAAACACCATTGTGTATTTGAAGAATTGGGTTTCAACCTAACTTCTTGAAGGAAATAATAAATCAGCAATTCAAAATCAAATTAGTCTTGTTTTTCGCAAATTCAAACGGGAAATATGGCAGTGAATGTTAATATGGTCGTCTGGACTCTAGAGAAATTGAGAAAGAGATTTCGGCATATCACCATTACTAGCTATTTCAAAATCCAGAAAGCTATTATAGCACCTATAACTACAAGTGAAAAAATGCCCGTTTTGAGTCAAAGATGGATTTGGCCACGAAAACCATGTCACTCTGTTCACGCTTTAATGAACACAGGAATACCCAGAAATACTTACACGAAAGCTATGCATTTCTTCTAATACTATTAAACATACTGACAAAGCATATTTGAAGGTGCCCAAGAGCGCACATAGAGCCAGGCATTCAATCAAACACATTGCGTGCAACCCACTGATCCCCTTTTTGGCAACAATCATAAACTAGCAACAGATAAGTGGATTCACACAGCACAAATTCAACACCGCGAGTACAAATTTCACAACAACCCAGAAGATCAAATGCAAAAAAAAAAAAAAAAAAATCTCAAAATTTAATCACAGAAATTCGATACCTTAATTGCCAAAGCAACTTCTTCCTGGCGCTCGAGCTCCGTGAGCACAGCAATCATATCCATCTTCAGAAGCCTCAAAACGTGGGTCTTGACAAACTTCCCAAGCTTCTCTTCGTCGTCCTTGAACCGTTTCAAACCCGAGATTACGAAAAGCGCTTCTTTGCCAATCAGTTTCTTGCCCCTCCAGAGCGGTCCTCTGGGCCTCCCGTCGTGATACAGCTTGAACCCAAAAATGGGTCTCCATGATTTGATTTCGAGCTCTGGAATTGGAGAGTTTAGAAGCAATGGGGTCGTTTTGACTGGTGTTGTTTTTAGGTTTTGAATGAGTATTGAGGAGAAAAATGATGACTTTGGTCGCGAAAATGCGCGAGTCGCCATTGGAGGTGTGATGAAGGGGACGAGTTGGTCGGTGAGTGTGAGATTGATGAAGGGTTTGTTTGGGAAATGAAAAATTATGGCTTCTCCTTGTTTTGGAGAGGGGTTAGGCGCAGGGGTTTAGGCGTAGGGCTTCACATCGCAGGTAGAAACCTTCTTATGAAAAATAAGGGTTTAATGTAATTCTTATTGTAATTTATTTATTTTGCTACAAATGGTATATTCACACTAATTCATGAAATTTGAATTTAAAATCTTTCATTTGTAATTGAAATAAAAATACTACTAGACCTAAGTGGCAAAATCTTATTGTAATTAGTTTCTTTTCTTTTTCATTGGTTGGATTCCTCTTGGTCTCAAAATTGGTCTTGGCCATGTGGCAATCGGGATTTCAAGATCTCTTAGCCCTTCTAGTTTGTGTAGCTGGCATGCCAACTCGTGGCTTAAGGCCGAGCGAGTAAAGAGAAGTTGGGGATTTTACTTGCACTTTGTTTTAACTTCTTTCAAATGTGATTGTGGACCAATGAAGGAACCCGTCTTGTCCGTAGGTTCTCCATAGCTTGTTACAAGGACTTTTGAATCTGCGTTAGATGGACGTTGAGATGGTTATTATTTGTGTAGACACGATGAGTGAATGAATAGGTGGAAGTGAATTTGGTAAATCATATGGTGAGATGGAATGTATGGGGAGGTGCATGGCATCAACTCAAACGAACCAGCCAAATGGTTGAATTGATAAGTAATACGTTACAATACTCTGCAAAATGAATTGCGAGAAATTTAAATGCACGTTAAGTGCGAGAAAAATAAAATTGCTCAGTGCAAGAAAATAATTTGCAGGAATTGGAAACTAATTTGAAATAGAAAACCATATAGGGCTACATTATTCTGTTAAACAACAGTGACCAGTACAATAACAATGAACTAATTTTTTTTCATAGCTTGCAATCTAGGGCTCGGGTACTCAGAAAGGCATTGTAGGAGACAGTCACAAAGACAAGCAACAGAAAGGAAAGCACAAGAACAAACGAAGATGAAAAATGATGCCAACGATAAAACTGTCGTCGGAGAGTGATGCACAAAGGAATTTTCGAGCCCTCGTCCAATGACAGACTCTCCTCAATAAAAAATCTCAGGTCATCATCATCACTTAGCTGCACCGGTTGGGTTGGTAGTTTTGATGCATATGCTGTCGTTATTATGATCTTGTATTCACTGGGATCTACCCCAAGAATACAATACAGTCTCTGCACAAGTTCTTCATATATAATGCTGTCTGAAACCATAATTCCTTTCGTTTTACCACCAAAGTATGTAGAATTGCTCCACTTCCCATCATAGTTAACCAAAAGTCTAAGCTTATTCATTTTCCTGAAGATACATGGGAAACATTAGTCAGCAAGAAAGTAGATATAAACTGATTAAATGAACCAGAATTTAGACTAAACGTAGAACGATTGATAAAATAAGCCCTAGCCGTAGGGGGAGGATGATCCTTCTTCCTCCTCTCTCTTTCTTGTTCTTGCCTAGTCCCTTGTGATGACTTAAATTTAATCCTTCTTCCTCCTCTCCCTTCTTCCTCCTCTCTCAATTTTGGGTATTTTTTATTACCTTCCAATTTAATCCTTCTTTCAGAACTCTTCCTCTAAACTTTTTCTTTCTTCTCTCTAAATCTAGTGCTATATATGATGATGCTTTTGGAGGATTCCGGCTATCTACTCAAACGTGACCATTATCGTCAGGTAAGCAACCTTGTGATTTATGCGATGTAGTTTGTGTGGTTTTTGACAAATTCCAACCTAATTTTGGACTATATTTAATGGAAAACAAGAGACTTTCATTTTCATCGTCGATCATGATGATCATCAGTCACCTTGGAAGATGAGGATGATGAGCAATAAACCAGAAGAAAATATCCAACCATTTCAAATTGACAAAAGAGCAAAAAAGTTTACCTTCTAGTTCTAGAAGAAGATACTCGGGGTTTAAGAATATTCATCTTCGACCTCTTATCCAAACGTAGACTTCGTTCTATGAAAAATGCCAAGTCCTCATCATCGGCTATCTGTACTGGTTGAGCAGGCAATTCTGATTCATCTGTAGTCTTCATTATGATCTCATACTCATCTGGATCTATCCCGACGATACAATACACTCTATCTAGAAGCTCCTCACAAGTAATGTCCTTTGACACCACTATCTCTGTCGCATTACCACCAGTGTATGCAGTATTATCCCACTTTCCACCATAGTGAACCGAAATTCTGATTTTACTTATTTTCCTGAAGATGAAATAAAACAATTACGGATAAAAATAACTAATAGTAAACAAAGTAGTTTAATAGTTTATGCTCATTCTTTCACAAATCAATCGTGACAAATTATAGAAATTGACGACTTATAAAAATAGAACATTCAAAATCAATATGGAGGAAAATTACCTATCCCTTGTGTTACACTTGACACCGACCATGAATGACGATGCTTCTTCATGTTCTGTAAAGGCCTCGAGAATCCTCTGCAAGTTAGATGTTTCTGTGCATTTAAGAATCTGCACAAGCTCATCCAGGCACCAAGCTGAAGAAGCAAAGTCTGCTGAAAGAGTGACGAGGGAAATCTGTGATTCTTCAATTGCTTTTACAAGTCCTGAGGAAATAGATAGTCCTCGGTCAAGCCCTTTGTCATCTCTAAAGGTGGTAATTCCTGTCTGCTTCAATGAATGGTATATGTGATCCACAATATTCAGGCGGGTGTCTCTGCCTCTAAAAGACATAAACACATCATACTTCCATCTTTGAGAAGACAAATGAGAACAATAAGGTTTTGAGGTTTTAGCCAGTATCGAAGAAGAGGGGACAGTAGAAGGAAGCTTTGGGTGCAATTTCCTCCCTATGTCATCAACAATATCTTGAATGAGCTCTGATTCGCGCCTACAACAAAGAAAGACTGTTAATCACGTTGTTGGGTGGCCAGTAAAAGAAGGCCAAATAGCATAACGTACTTTTCCATCCTCTCACTATCTCTTGTTTTGTAACTTCTCCTACAAAAACTTTGATCAATGAGTGATTTTTTACCATCATCACCACCGTATTAATTGCCATCAGATGATTGTGATTTAATCTAGCTACTGCATAAATTTTGAATTTTTACTCACTAATTTTTAGCATAATTCTTCTTCTGATGATCGATTCAACCTCTGATTAAAAAGTTATACCTTAGTTATATTTTATATCATTCATTCTCTTCATAAAAAATAGGAGGTAGAGCCAATAAAGATTTCTTTTTCGATTCATCCTTGGAAAATTGAAGATTTAGGTTGTTATTTTTTCATATTTCATATTGTAAAATCAGTAATATTTAACAAATCAAAATTTTGTTCCATATGCGTGTTATTTGAACTCAATTAAGTTTGTGAAAAGATCTGATAAGATTTCATGTTTTAAAAAAAACACATATCTTTCCAGCTAAGGAATGGAAAACATTTCTCTTGTTACATGAATCCAATTTTCATTTCATCAGAAAATGCCATCCTCTAATAAATTCCTTGGAAATTCTATAGTAAATGGAATATACAGTTATCAATTTGGTGTTGTAAACATATATCATTTAGCAGAAGAAAAGAGTGAGTAAAATAGATATGCATACCGGCCCCTTGAATCCCACCCAGAGAGGCTTGCTACTTCGGTTAAAGCGGCTCTCCACCTTTTAACCTTGTCTGGGCCGTCCTTGTATGTTTCTGTGTGTCTAGCAAAGGCTTCTCCAAAACTCCCTGTTTGATTTCGTACATCAGACGGATCGACATTATAGAAAATTGGTAGCACCGTTTTTTTTTCCCCATGGCATTCAAGAATACGTACAAGCTCATCATAACACCATGGCGAAAATGAATAATTATTTCCTAGAATAGTAACTGCAGTCCTCGAATTCTGAACTGCAGTCAGGAGTTCTCTGTCGCACGCATAGCTTTGAACATGATTGTGGAAAGCTTTTAGGTTCTGCTTCTGAAACTCTGTATATAAAGCATCTACAAAAGACTTGTCTGCACCCCTAAAACTAATAACTACATCAAAATATAATTTATTGTCCAAAATTACCCTCTCCATTGGAGATGTGGTTCTCAATGTAATAATGAGAATAATTTCACAAGCAATCTGCAGGACACAGTACAACTTGTTAAAGTAAGCAATTTCGTAATACAATATATGAGACAAAAATATTCCCAATATATCGAGTACGTCTTGAAAGAAAAACCTCGATTTGCTTTTCCAAATTTTAAACCAGAAAATTGAGGATTCGTATGATAACAATTTCATTTTTAATTTTTACATAAAGAAAAAAAAACCTTAATTAATGAAATTGTAATCAAACAAGATATCTGGTATGGTACGATTGCGAGTCTGGGCCAAACCTGGGAGCATAGGGTCTAATAAGTTATGGATTTTACCAAATAGATTGGAGGCTAAAGCAAATCTACTATGCCAAGCTTATTCCATATTGCTTAATAAATAAATAAGTAAGGATTTGACCAACTATATATTAAAAAAACTAACCGGCTGAAAACCCATAAGAGAGAGAAAGCCCACTTGTCTGAATAGAAGTCTGGTTATGTATATATTAATGCAAAGGTGTGGTTCGCAGTTACTATCAGTCGGGCTCATATTGCCAAACCAGATTGGCGTGTAAGTTACGGAGCTGTTACTATCAAGATGGTGACCTCATATTGTCAATTGGGCTAATATTACGATTACACTCAAATTTAAGGGGATAAAATATAATTTTACTCATAAATTCTAAATTACATGTTAATGAAACTTTTTTTGACAATTAATATAGGGTGAAAATACATTTTTGTTTTCTATCACAAAAAATTAAGAACACCAACGTAATTTCACAAAACAAATTACTATTTTTTGTTTAAATTTCAACTATAGGTGATTTTATCATCTCTAATTAAAAAAATAAAATAAATAAATCAATAAATAAACATCTCTCCCCACCCTCAAGTTCTTTCTTCTCTCCTTCAATTTTAAAAATAAAAGTAAAATATTTCACGCACTGTGTATGAGCATATACTAGTATTTATAATAATTATGCAGAGGTCAATAAAGCATGCAGTTTAAGCTAGTTAGGACATAACTATTATACCCTTCTCTTTTCACTGTATTCCATCCTTATATATAATATATCATTAATTTCTATTATTGATAAGTGCCCAATTTATTATCAAGATTCACATGATCTATATATTTTTCTTTTTCATTTTAAAATACTAAAAACAACTTTTACTGACACACCCGACAAAAGTCAAGGCATGCTGACCGACATCCGAAAGTGACGTAGCCAAATGGTAAGTGATGAGTAGTTAAAACGTACATATACATGCCATGACAATATATAAATCTCAACAATATAATAGCATTTTTAAAATGAAATAAAACTGGCATGATAGGCACAATCTTAATTCAAAAGCATTTGTAGAAACTATAAAACCTTTATATAAAAATAAATGTTCACTCACTGGTACGTAATCGGATCGTAGTCTCCTAGCCTTGCTTGACCTTGTACCTCCTCAAAATAATTATCTCCTCTAGCTGAAACAACTATAGTAATTAATTTACTAACACATATACGAAAAGCTAGGAAAATTCCCTTAAAGTTTGCTCAAATGAAGGGTTTAAATATACGAAAAAATTCTACGCGATGTCACAGACATGTACACATCGACCATGTGCCGCCACATGGTCGCACGCCTTCACCCGCCACCAACTTGCGGCCCCACGCGTAGGTTACGTGCCTATAAGCGCTGGCAGATGACAGGAAATATCCCGTCAGATTTGACGGAATATTCCATTAAATATGACGGCGTCTGTTAACGGCATTACCTTAACGACATCAGGTAACAGCGTCAAAATATTTCGTTAACTTTAACGGAATATTCCTCCTTCCTCGGTTGTCCTCGGCTGCAGCCGTCTGGTTCGCCGGATTCTGCAAATTTTGCCAAATTAAATTTTGCCAAATTTTTTGTAAACAGTTTAAAACTTCATATCTTCCTCATTTCTCAACCATTTTTTATGTACTTTATATGAAAATGAAGCTTGGGAAGGGAAGAACAAGTTTATACCTTTTGAAAGTCCAAAAGTGGACGGCAATGGACTGAAAATAGCTCGAATGCCTCGGCCCTTTTTTCGACTTCTTGAAACCGTGTGTTTTCACGTTGGCTTGGCTTCAAACTTGGACTAGGGACCTCAGGTAGTTGTGTAGTGGCTTCTAAAACCTTCCAAAACCTTGTAACTCGAGTCGGAGCTCCAAGTTGGATGTCCAAAACCTTATAATGTTTGATAATGGTGTTTGTGTTGCAGAGAGAAGGGAGAGAATGTCTGATTGTTTTGAATGATTGACGAGACAGAGTGTCTGAATAAATAGGGAGAATGGAATGTCTAATTGGTATATAAAAAAAAATTAAAGGAATGATTGATGATAGAAATAAGGATGGGATGAGTGCTCGGTTCGTGTGGTAGGTATAGTGGATTTCTGACCAATGAGTTGGAAAGGATCCCACTTTCATGATTTGAAAATACAGAAACCTAACCCATTAATACACTCACACGGCTCACTAAAACGGCATAATTAGTACACTCGTGGACAATCTTATTTGTTGTCAACGTACTTTAATTAAACGTAACTTCTTTGTTACAAACTCGGTTCAGGTCTAGTTTGTGCTTACGCGTTCATAATAACGAGTACTATTTAATTACGATAATACGAAAAAATAAACTAAAAGCCGAATAACAATATCTATGTCACATTCCACTTTGCCAACAAGGGTATAATCGTCATTTCACATACTCAAGAAGGAAATTACATAGAAAATTAGGAACAGATCGTCACATTTACCGAAACAAGAAAAAGTGGAAGAACTTTATTGTTTTACCTTACAGTTTAGAATTTTGGTTCCTCTAAAAGATCCCAAACGATATATTTACTAATTAAGTATTTCTTTTTTCATAATTTTCGAAATACTTGTCCCTTCATTATGATGTATACCAAGTATTTAGTATTTGGTCTAAATAATAGTAATTTAGATCAAATACTTATAAGTGAGAGATTTTAGATTCGAATCTCGTGAATGACAAATAAGATACTAAATTAGGTTGCTCATTCTGTGACTTAGCCGAACTCTCTCATCTCCATAGCTAAAAATATATTATGAAACATTGTGGAAAAAATATGAAGATGACAGAAAATCTATAAAATGTTTCACTTTAAAAGAATTTCTTTAAGATTCCTGAACGAAAATACATAGAAATTTCCTGATATTGGAGATTGGAGGAACTGGGAAAGCATCCAACGCGGGTTGTAGGACCCATTTAATCCCGCAATCATCGGTCCATATACTCCGCTGGCTTTAACTTTGAGTGGGGGCTCAAGCACAATGACAAACACAATAGCATGCAGCTCATAACAATAAGCTAATTAATTATAAAATAACATAATTATGCCTCTCTGTCACATCCTCGTCCGGGACGGATCACTTTTCGGGCCCACTCCACCACCGTAGCACGATATTGTCAGCTTTAGGCCCCGATCACGCCCCTCACAGTTTTGCTAAAAATATATTATGAAACATTGTGGAAAAAATATGAAGATGACAGAAAATCTATAAAATGTTTCACTTTAAAAGAATTTCTTTAAGATTCCTGAACGAAAATACATAGAAATTTCCTGATATTGGAGATTGGAGGAACTGGGAAAGCATCCAACGCGGGTTGTAGGACCCATTTAATCCCGCAATCATCGGTCCATATACTCCGCTGGCTTTAACTTTGAGTGGGGGCTCAAGCACAATGACAAACACAATAGCATGCAGCTCATAACAATAAGCTAATTAATTATAAAATAACATAATTATGCCTCTCTGTCACATCCTCGTCCGGGACGGATCACTTTTCGGGCCCACTCCACCACCGTAGCACGATATTGTCAGCTTTAGGTCCCGACCACGCCCCTCACAGTTTTGTTTCTAGGAACTCACACGAGAACTTCTCGATGGGTCACCCATCCTGGGAATGCTCTCGTGCGCTACTCGCTTAACTTCGGAGTTCCCATGGAACCCAAAGCCATTGAGCTCCCAAAAGGCCTCATGCTAGGTAAGGATGAGAATATATATATAAGGATCACTCCCCTGGGCGATGTGGGATCTTACAATCCACCCCCCCTTAAGGGTCCGACGTTCTCGTCGGCACACCACGACCAGGGTTAGGCTCTGATACCAAATTATCACATCCCGGGCAGGGACGGATCACTTCCTGGCCCCCGTCCAGATTAATACTCCACAAATTTTAGACAAATTTATATTCACAATTTCCAATTTGGCAAAATACTTTATTGCCCTGTGTTATCTTTTGTGATAAACATATGAATGCACAAAAAAACAACCACACATGCCTTGCCCATTTAGATAGGCATTTGTATCCATGTTTACACATCTATCTTAAATGCTGTCTTGCAAAATCCAGTGGTTAATTCCAAGTTACTATCTAATGTGCTATTAGATACTTTGTTTACAATTTAATAATTTGATTGCCCCTTTAGTTGCATAAACTCAGTAAAATTTTGAGGTGGTAGACACTGAACTGCTGAATCTCTACGGTTTCTTTTGTTTTGTCCAATTGTTGTCATTATTCTAATTGGGTAATTTGAGGTTTTTTACTGTATTTATTTATTTATTTTAGATAAATTAGTGGGTCTAAACTTTTAATTGAATTGAGGAAAACAGAGAACTAGCAAAACTTCGTAGAGAACATGCACCAGTTTCCTGCCATCCTGATCCTATATTTATTCCTTCATTTGGGTAACACAACTTAATGAAATAAAATTTTAAAAATATATTAAGAGTATAATTTTACGCTTTTGATTCGAGTTTAAAAATAACATTTACATTCACGGTGTGTCTTTTGCTCAGTGTATAAACAACTGTAAATGAGCTTGACTATATCAAATTGAATGTTTTAGTGCCCACCACCTATTTGATAAAATATAGCATCAAAACTCCTCCAATATGTGTTCAAGCTATCCCCCTTCTATTTCTGATTTATTTTGTTTCCGTACACTCAAAACCATAACACTAAATTCCCAATTTCTTGCCCACAATGATGTGTCTTACATGTCATGGAGAAGCTCTCAAGTCCACTGCAGGGTCCAACTTTTTTGCCCACTTCAGGTACTGCTTTTAGCATCAAAATACTACATTTTCCAACAAATTTACAAGGAACAACCAAGCTGGATTATAGCTAGATTCCGTCAAATTATATCACTATTGGTATTCCAGCTGCCCACCTTATAGAAATTACAAGGTTTGCTCCACTCTATTCTTCTTTGATATATTTAATTCAAATTCGTATATTTAGGTAAGAAACAAAATTTTATCTATTCCTTGAATTACGCAGAGTTGTAAATAGATTGAGTTAAGCAGGGTTGTAAATATGACCTTTTACATGTTTTATACTGTTTAAAAACCTGCAGCATTGTATGAGCACTGTTGCTAGTGTGTGTGTGTGTGTGTGTGTGTGTGTGTGTACACATACACGTGTATTCTTGATTGAGTGAGAAGAAAATTATGGACGGATCGTCACATTTACCGAAACAAGAAAAAATGGAAGAACTTTATTGTTTTACCTTACAGTTTAGAATTTTGGTTCCTCTAAAAAACCCCAAACGATATATTTACTAATTAAGTATTCCTTCTTTCATAATTTTCGAAATACTTGTCGCTTCATTATGATGTATACCAAGTATTTAGTATTTGGTCTAAATAATAGTAATTTAGATCAAATACTTATAAGTGAGAGATTTTGGATTCGAATTTCGTGAATGACAAATTCGATACCAAATTGGGTTGCCCATTCTGTGGCTTAACCGAACTCTCCCATCTCCATAGGTAAAAATATATCGTTGTACTAAAAAAAAAAAATTTAAACGTTTGATCTATTCTTGAAAAAGTCCACGTTCAACGCAGAGAAATTCAACCATATGGGTTGGTTTTGTATCATAATTGTAATGGGACAGCTACTTTTTTTTTTGTTTTTTTTGTGGAAAGCTGTAATGGGACGGCTACTTTGGTTTTATTTTTGTGTTTGATTATACGATTTGGCTCGTAGTTGGTTATTGATATCCATATAATTAAGGAATTTCATTAGACTAGTCTTTAAACTGGCTAAGATTTAATCAGACGGTAACCAAATGCCAAAATTTTAACACCCTTGATATTCAACACAGTGTCTGAATTAAAATGTCAAAAAGAAAAATCATAAATCGGGCACTACGATCAGTCATGGTCTTACAAACTCTACTGATGGTATGATCCAAATACAAATTATATATATATATATGTATGTATGTATGTATTCTTGATTGAGCAGGAAGAAAATATTACACACACGGTTTGGCTCTTTCTTAAAAGCTATCATCAAAATTCTTTCTGATTACAGTTTAACGAGAAAGTTTAGTGTGTACCGACTCCAAGGACGGATCCACATAGGGACCCGGGAGGTCCTAGGATCCGTCAGCGATCCTAAATCGCTGCTATAAATTTTTCCGGGATCCCTCGTACTCGAGTATGAGGTCTGTGCAGGTTGTAGGTTGCAGGTTGCAGTGGTTGTCTTCTTCTCGGAGAAAATGACCGCACACGGAGAAGAAAGAAAATAGGGACCCTTCCCGCCTCTCTCCTCCTTGCTTCGGTCGGTCCCACCCACTTCTCCTTCAACCTTTCTCTGTCGTCTGGCGGGTGCAGTACATAAGCCCAAATTATTTCAACCATCTTAGTAATTTTTCTTATGGGTGAAATTTCCCTTATAAGGTTAGTAAGATGGATATGATCTGTCATGGGTTGGTGAAATTTGGGGGTGGAGCTGCCATGGCTTTAGGAGAATGGGGAGGGAGGCGGTTGGTAGAGGTATGGCAGCTTTGTTCTTGGTGAGAGAGAAGGTGGATGTTTGGAAACTAGTAAAAGAGAAAAATGGTGTGTTTGGTTAGAAAGATAGTGGGAGTTTGGGAAGAGTTTTATTTGACCGATGTTTTAAATTTAGTGATTCATATTAGATAATCAACAACTTAGGTACTCCCTGGTAACTTATGAAATCTCATAATGGACGCTTGAGTTATGATTTTATAATTTGTAATATTGTTTTGCATATGATTTTTCAATGAAATGTATTATATTTAAAATTTCAATGTTATTTTTGTTTATAAATTTTTTTAACCTTTATAATTGAGACCCCGAGTTTAAAATCCTATATCCGTCACTGACCAACTCTATTAGGTACACCCGCTACTTGGCAATTACTAGCATAGCAAGGATAAATTTGGCGACACAAGGATAAGTTTGTCCTAGCCACTAGGCAACCCAAAGAGTGGGTAGTATCCCTAGTCTTTGAATCGTGTACGTAATGGGACTTCAATCACATGGGAAGCAAGCATACGTCATTTGAGAGGTAAATGGGTACACAAGAAAAGTAAAAGGGTTTGTTTACGTCTGGACTCAATGGGAGAGCAACTTTGAGTCATTCGGAAGTTGAGCAGTGATCAGCGGCTGTGATTCAAGGACATTCCTTTAGCTTTAGGGGACAAATCAAAAGATTTCATGGGGCATGAGAGGGATAGAAAATTATGCAAACACAACCTAAGCACCCACCCACTTAGCTAGATATTGCATTGCATATAGGTGTATCGGAAAAGAGTGGGTGCAAGGGGGTGCCCAAAGCAAAATTCACACCCCTAAAATTAGGCAAAGCCAACTAGAAGAAGAAACTAATGAGAGTTTAAGAGTAGAGAAATTTTGTGTGTACTCTTGATAATATTATCCTATTTTAACACACATAACCCACCATTTATGTAGGGACAAATGATGTACCATCTCGTGTAACGATTACACTAAAAAATTTCTTCAGAAAGACAAGCAACAGAAAAGAAAGCACAAGAACAACCGAACATGAATAACGATGCCAACGATAAAACCGTCGTTGGAGAGTGATGCACAAAGGAATTTTCGAGCGCTTGTCCAATGACAGACTCTCGTCAATAAAAAATCTCAGGCCATCATCATCACTTAGCTCCACCGGTTGGGTTGGTAGTATTGATGCATATGCTGTCGTTATTATGATCTTGTATTCACTGGCATCTACCTCAAGATTACAATACAGTCTCTGCACAAGTTCTTCATATGTAATGCTGTATGAAACCATAATTCCTTTCGTTTTACCACCAATGTATTTAGAATTGCTCCAGTTCCCATCATAGTTAACCAAAAGTCTAAGCTCATTCATTTTCCTGAAGATACATGGAAAACATTAGTCAGCAAGAAAGTAGATATAAACTGATTAAATGAACCAGAATTTAGACTAAACGTAGAACGGTTGATAAAATAAGCCCTAGCCGTAGGGGGAGGATGATCCTTCTTCCTCCTCTCTCTTTCTTGTTCTTGCCTAGTCCCTTGTGATGACTTAAATTTAATCCTTCTTCCTCCTCTCTCCTTCTTCCTCCTCTCTCAATTTTGGGTATTTTTTATTACCTTCCAATTTAATCCTTCTTTCAAAACTCTTCCTCTAAACTTTTTCTTTCTTCTCTCTAAATCTAGTGCTATATATGATGATGCTTTTGGAGGATTCCGACTATCTACTCAAAAGTGACCATTACCGTCAGGTAAGCAACCTTGTGATTTATGCGATGCAGGTTGTGTGGTTTTTGACAAATTCCAACCTAATTTTGGACTATATTTAATGGAAAACAAGAGACTTTCATTTTCATCGTCGATCATGATCATCATCAGTCACCTTGGAAGATGAGGATGATGAGCAATAAACCAGAAGAAAATATCCAACCATTTCAAATTGACAAAAGGGCAAAAAAGTTTACCTTCTAGTTCTAGAAGAAGATACTCGGGGTTTAAGAATATTCATCTTCGACCTCTTATCCAAACATAGACTTCGTTCTATGAAAAATGCCAAGTCCTCATCATCGGCTATCTGCACTGGTTGAGCAGGCAATTCTGATTCATCTGTGGTCTTCATTATGATCTCATACTCATTTGGATCTATCCCGACGATAGAATACACTCTACCTAGAAGCTCCTCACAAGTAATGTCCTTTGACACCACTATCTCTGTCGCATTACCACCAATGTATGCAGTATTAACCCACTTTCCACCATAGTGAACCGAAATTCTGATTTTACTTATTTTCCTGAAGATGAAATAAAACAATTAGGGATAAAAATAACTAATAGTAAACAAAGTAGTTTAATAGTTTATGCTCATTCTTTCAAAAATCAATCGTGACAAATTATAGAAATTGACGACTTATAAAAATAGAACATTCAAAATCAGTATGGAGGAAAATTACCTATCCCTTGTGTTACACTTGACACCGACCATGTCTGATGATGCTTCTTCATGTTCTGTAAAGGCCTCGAGAATCCTCTGCAAGTTAGATGTTTCTGTGCATTCAAGAATCTTCACAAGCTCATCCAGGCACCAACTTGAAGAAGCAAAGTCTGGTGAAAGAGTGACGAGGGAAATCTGTGATTCTTCAATTGCTTTTACAAGTCCTGAAGAAATAGATAGTCCTCGGTCAAGCCCTTTGTCATCTCTAAAGGTGGTAATTCCTTTCTGCTCGAATGAATGGTATATGTTATCCACAATATTCAAGCGGGTGTCTCTGCCTCTAAAAGACATAAACACATCATACTTCCATCTTTGAGAAGAAAAATGAGAACAATAAGGTTTTGAGGTTTTAGCCAGTATCGAAGAAGAGGGGACAGTAGAAGGAAGCTTTGGGTGCAATTTCCTCCATATGTCATCAACAATATCTTGAATGAGCTCTGATTCGCGCCTACAACAAAGAAAGAGACTGTTAATCACGTTGTTGGGTGGCCAGTAAATGAAGGCCAAATAGCATAACATACTTTGATCAATGAGTGATTTTTTCCCATCATCACCACCGTATTAATTACCATTAGATGATTGTGATTTAATCTAGCTACTGCATAAATTTTGAATTTTTACTCACTAATTTTTAGCATAATTCTTCTGATGATGATCGATTCAACCTCTAATTAAAAAGTTATACCTTAGTTATATTTTATCTCATTCATTCTCTTCATAAAAAATAGGAGGTAGAACCAATAAAGATTTCTTTTTCGATTCATCCTTGGAAAATTGAAGATTTAGGTTGTTATTTTTTCATATTTCATATTGTAAAATCAGTAATATTTAACAAATCAAAATTTTGTTCCATATGCGTGTTATTTGAACTCAATTAAGTTTGTGAAAAGATCTGATAAGATTTCATATTTTTTTTAAAAACACATATCTTTCCGGCTAAGGAATGGAAAACATTTCTCTTGTTACATGAATCCAATTTTCATTTCATCCGAAAACGCATCCTCTAATAAAATCCTTGGAACTTCTATAGTAAATGGAATATACAGTTATCAATTTGGTGTTGCAAACATATATCATTTAGCAGAAGAAAAGAGTGAGTAAAATAGATATGCATACCGGCCCCTTGAAACCCACCCAGAGAGGTTTGCTACTTGGGTTAAAGCAGCTCTCCACCTTTTAACCTTGTCTGGGTCGTCCTTGTATGTTTCTTGGTGTCTAGCAAAGGCTACACCAAAACTACCTGTTTGATTTCGTACATCAGACGGATCGACATTATAGAAAATTGGTAGCACCGTTTTTTTTTCCCCATGGTATTCAAGAATATTTACAAGCTCATCCAACCACCGTGGCGAAGATGAATAATTATTTCCCAGAACAGTAACTACAGTCCTCGAATTCTGAATTGCAGTAGCGAGTTCTTTCACGTCCTTAATGCTTTGAATACAATTGCGGAAAACTTCTAGGTTCTGCTTCTTAAACTTTGTATATAGAGCATCTGCAAAAGACATGGTGTCTTCTGTAAAACCCAGATATACATCATAGCCAGACAGAGAGTCTGAAAGAAATTCCATTGGAGATGTGGTTCTCTTCTCAATGGAATAATGAGATTAATTTCACAAGCAATCTGCAGGAGGCAGTACAACTTGTTAAAGTAAGCAATTTGGTATTACAACCAGTAAATAAAAAAAATAAAAAAATCTAGTCTGCAAAATTCATACCATATATGAGACAAAAGTATTCCCAATATATCGTGCTTTCACAAATTTTAAACCGGAAAATTGAGGATTCGTATGATAACAAATTCGTTTTCAATTTTTACATAAAGAAAAAAAACCTTAATTAATGAAACTGTAATCAAACAAGATATCTGGCATGGAAAGATTGCGAGTCTGGGGCCAAACCTGGGGGCATGTCGAAAATGAGAACTCGCAGATGGAGTAAGAGATGGGCTGGCATAGGGTCTATTAATTTATAGATTTTAACAAATAGATTGGAGGCTAAGCCAAGCACGTTCCATATTGTTTAATAAATAAATAATTAAAGATGGAAAATGTTATTGTTACTTTAAAAATCTTATTCTATATTCATCATAAGTGTATTTTTCTTTTCTAATATAGATAGTTTGAAGTATAAAATGAGATTTTTGAAATCCATATAACAATTCCCTTAAAATTTTGACCAACTATATATTAATAAAACTATCCGGCTGAAAACCCATTTGTCTGAATAGAAGTCTGGTTATGTATATATTAATGCAAAGGTGTGGTTCGCAGTTACTATCAGTCGGGCTCATATTGCCAAACCAGATTGGCGTGGAAGTTACGGAGCTGTTACTATCAAGATGGTGACCTCATATTGTCAATTGGGCTCAGATTACGATTACACTCAAATTTAAGGAGATAAAATATAATTTTACCCATAAAATCTAAATTACATGTTAATGAAAATTTTTTTGACAACTAATATAGGATAAAAAGATATTTTTGTCTTCTATCACAAAAAAAAAAAAATTAAGAACACCAACGTAATTTCACAAAACAAATTAATGTATTTTGTTTAAGCATCAACTATAAGTGATTTTATCATCTCTAATGAAAAAAATAAAATAAATAAACCTCTCTCCCCACCCTCAAGTTCTTTCTCACTCCCTTCTTCTCTCCTTCAATTTAAAAAAAAAAGTAAAATATTTCACACACTGTGTGTATGAGCATATACTAGTATTTATAATAATTATGTATAGGTCAATAAAGCATGCGGTTTAAGCTAGTTAAGACATAACTATTATACCCTTCTCTTTTCACTTTATTCCATCCTTATATATAATATATCATTAATTTCTATTATTGATAAGTGCCCTTATTATCAAGATTCACATGATCTATATATTTTTCTTTTTCATTTTAAAGTACTGAAAACAACTTTTACTGACACACCCCAATAGAAGTTAAGGCATGCTGGCCGACACCCAAAGGTGATGTAGCCAAATGGTAAGTGATGAGTAGTTAAAACGTACACATACATGCCATGACAATATATAAATCTCAACAATATAATAGCATTTTTAAAATGAAATAAAACATGGCATGATAAGCACAATCTTAATTCAAAAGCATTTGTGAAAACTATAAAACCTTTATATAAAAACAAATGTTCACTCACTGGTATAGTCGGATCGTAGTCTCCTAACCTTGCTTGACCTCGTACCTCCTTAGAATAATTATCTCCTCTAGCTGAAACAACTATAGTAATTAATTTATTAACACATATACGAAAAGCTAGGAAAATTCCCTTAAAGTTTGTTCAAATAGAGGGTTTAAATATACGAAAAAATTCTACGCGACATCACAACACATGTACACGTCGACCATGTGCTGCCACATGGTCGCACGCCCTCACCAGCCACCAGCTTGCGACCCACGCGTAGGTCACGTGCCTATAAGCGCTGGCAGATGACAGGGGAATATCCCGTCAAATTTGTCGGAATATTCCGTTAAATATGACGGCGTCTGTTAACAGAATTACCTTAACGACATCAGGTAACAGCGTCAAAATATTTCGTTAACTTTAACGAAATATTCCTCCTTCCTCGGTTGTCCTGGGCTGCAGCCGTCTGGTTCGCCGGATTCTACAAATTTTGCCAAATTTTTTGTAAACAGTTTAAAACTTCATATCTTCCTCATTTCTCAACCATTTTTTATGTACTTTATATGAAAATGAAGCTTGGGAAGGGAAGAACAAGTTTATACCTTTCGAAAGTCAAAAAAGTGGACGGAAATGGACTGATAATAGCTCGAATGCCTCGGCCCTTTTTCGACTTCTTGAAACCGTGTGTTTTCACGTTGGCTTGGCTTCAAACTTGGACTAGGGACCTCAGGTAGTTGTGTAGTGGCTTCTAAAACCTTCCAAAACCTTGTAACTCGAGTCGGAGCTCCAAGTTGGATGTTCAAAACTCAGTTGTTTTTTAATCTGTTTGATGGATGGACTCGTGGGGATGAGAAGAATACGATAGTGGTGATTTGAAGTTTGATCTATAATGTTTGATGATGGTGTTTGTGTTGCAGAGAGAAGGGAGAGACACGGCCTTGAGAGAGAATGAGAAGATGAGAAGATGAGACAGAGTGTCTGAATAAATAGGGAGAATGGAATGTCTAATTGGTATATAAAAAAAAAATTAAAGGAATGATTGATGATAGAAATAAGGATTGGGATGAGTGCTCGGTTCGTGGGGTAGGTATAGTGGATTTCTGACCAATGAGTTGGAAAGGATCCCACTTTCATGATTTGAAAATACAGAACCTAACCCATTAATACATTCACATTTCACACGGCTCACTAAAACGGCATAATTAGTACACTCGTGTACAATCTAATTTGTTGTTAACGTATTTTAATTAAACGTAACTTCTTTGTTACAAATTCGGTTCGAGTCTAATTCACGCTTCAATAGTAACGGGTACTATTTAATTACGATAATACGAAAAAATAAACTAAAAGCCGAATAACAATATCTATGTCAGGTTCCACTTTGCCAACAAGGTTATAATCGTCATTTCACATACTCGAGAAGGAAATTACATAGAAAATTAAGGACAGATCGTCACATTTACCGAAACAAGAAAATATGGAAGAACTTTATTATTTTACCTTACAGTTTAGAATTTTGGTTCCTCTAAAAGACCCCAAACGATATATTTAATAATTAAGTATTTCTTTTTCATAATTTTCGAAATACTTGTCGCTTCATTATGATGTATACCAAGTATTTAGTATTTGGTCTAAATAATAGTAATTTAGATCAAATACTTATAAGTGAGAGATTTTAGATTTGAATCTCGTGAATGACAAATTCAATACCAAATTAGGTTGGTCATTCTGTTGTTTAGCCGAACTCTCCCATCTCCATAGGGGTTGTACTAAAAAAAATAGTAATTTAAACGTTTGATCTATTCTTGAAAAAGTCCACGTTCAACGCACAGAAATTCAACCACATGGGTTGGTTTTGTATCATAATTGTAATGGGACAGCTACTTTTTTTTTTTTATTGTTTTTTTGTGGAAAACTGTAATGGGACAGCTACTTTGGTTTTATTTTTGTGTTTGATTATACGATTTGGCTCGTAGTTGGTTATTGATATCCATATAATTAAGGAATTTCATTAAACTAGTCTTTAAACTTACTAAGATTTAATCAGACGGTAATCAAATGCCAAAATTTTAACACCTTTGATATTCAACACAGTGTCTGAATTAAAATGTCAAAAAGAAAAATCATAAATCGGGCACTACGATCAGTCGTGATCTTACAAACTCTACCGATGGTAAGGTCCAAATACAAATTTTATATATATATATATGTATTCTTGATTGAGCAGGAAGAAAATATTACACACACAGTTTCGCTCTTTCTTAAAAGCTATCATCTAAATTCTTTCTGATTACAGTTTAACAAGAAAGTTTAGTGTGTACCGACTCCAAGGACGGATCCACATAGGGACCTGGGAGGTCCTAGGATCCGTCGGCGATCCTAAATTGCTGCTATAAATTTTCCGGGGACCCCTCGTATCGAGCATGGGGTCTGTGTAGGTTGTAGGTTGCAGGTTGCAGTGGTTGTCTTCTTCTCAGAGAAAATGACCGCACACGGAGAAGAAAGAAAATAGGGACCCTTCCTGCCTCTCTCTTCCTTGCTTCGGTCGGTCCCACCCACTTCTCCTTCAACCTTTATGTGTCGTCTGGCGGGGGCAGTACATAAGCCCAAATTATTTCAACCATCTTAGTAATTTTTCTTAGGGGTGAAATTTCCTTCATAAGGTTAGTAAAATGAATATGATCTGTCATGGATTGGTGAAATTTGGGGGTGGAGCTGCCATGGCTTCAGGAGAATGGGGAGGGAGGCGGTTGGTGGAGGTATGGCAGCTTTGTTCTTGGTGAGAGAGAAGGTGGATGTTTGGAAACTAGTAAAAGAGAAATGGTGTGTTTGGTTAGAAAGATAGTGGGAGTTTGGGTAGAGTTTTACTTAACCAGTGTTTTAAATTTAGTGGTTCATATTAGATAATCAACAACTTAGGTACTCCCTAGTAACTTATGAAACCTCGTAATGGACGCTTGAGTTATGATTTTATAATTTGTAATATTATTTTGCATATGATTTTTGAATGAAATGTATTATATTTAAATTTTCAATGTTATTTTTGTTTATAAATTTTTTTGACCTTTATAATTGGGACTCCTCGAGTTTAAAATCCTGGATCTGTCACTGACCAACTCTATTAGGTACACCCGCTACTTGGCAATTACTAGCATAGCAAGGATAAGTTTGGCGACACAAGGATAAGTTTGTCCTAGCCACTAAGCAACCCAAAGAGTGGGTAGTATCCCTAGTCTTTGAATCGTGTACGTAATGGTACTTCAATGACATGGGAAGCAAGCATACGTCATTTGAGAGGTAAATGGGTACACAAGAAAAATAAAAGGGTTTGTTTAGGTCTGGACTCAATGGGAGAGCAACTTTGAGTCATTCGGAAGTTGAGCCGTGATCAGCGGCTGTGATTCAAGGACATTCCTTTAGCTTTAGGGGACAAGTCAAAAGATTTCATGGGGCATGAGAGGGATAGAAAATTATGCAAACACAACCTAAGCACCCACCCACTTCGCTAGATATTGCATTGCATATAGGTGTATCGGAAAAGAGTGGGTGCAAGGGGGTGCCCAAAGCAAAATTCACACCCCTAAAATTAGGCAAAGCCAACTAGAAGAAGAAACTAATGAGAGTTTAAGAGTAGAGAAATTTTGTGTGTACTCTGGATACCATCACATGTTGATACATTCCACGTTACAATACGAGTAGATGATGAAGTTGATCTATGCCTCTTTTATGAGTGTATTATTTTTGTAGTAATTCTCATTATATTGGAGACTGTGATTGGGTAAAATAGTAACACTACATGTCTATATTTGGGAAAACAACTTACATAGAACATATTCATCACCATGTCATGTTCAAATTCAATAATTCAATACATAATATTGTATTATTGAATCAAAGCGTCAAAATAGCAATATATATATATATATATATAATGAGAGCTCTAAAATGGTGAAACATTTATAATTCCTAAAATACCCGTCCTTAATTAAGATTTCAAATACTTTTATTTTAAAAAATCCAAACTAACAAAATAAAACCACTAGTGGACAGTTTTTTCCTTTAATTTTTGGAAATAAAAATATTTAAAATAAAAATAAAAGAAATAAAGCTCCAAGTAAAAGATAAGTAAAAGAGCAAATTGTCATACGCATGAGCGTGTGACAAAGAGGCTAGTATTCTATATAAGTCATTCTTATTATTGGAAGGGAAATGATAAGGGAACTCTCTAAAAGTGTAGCTCTCTATGAGTTCTCTTCCACATCATAGTTTAAAATCAATTTCCACGTCAAATATTATGAAATATTGTGGAAAAAAATATGAAGATGACAGAAAATCTATAAAGTGTCTCACTTTAAAAGAATCTTTTTAAGATTTCTGAACGAAAATACATAGAAATTTCCTGATATTGGAACTGAGAAAGCATCCAACGTGGGTTGTAGGACCCATTTAATCCCGCAATCATCGGTCCATATACTCCGCTGCCTTCAACTTTGAGTGGGGGCTCAAGCACAATCACAAACACAATAGCATGCAGCTCATAACAATAAGCTAATTAATTATAAAATAACATAATTATGCCTCTCAATCTCGGGCCACAACCTCAGTAAGCAGTAATATAACAGACTAAACCCCATTGTTTTTGTAGTCGTAGACTAAATGGAAATTTTAAATAATTTACATGCATGCATGTATGGTTCCTTTAGCTTATAAATGAGATATTTTAGATTTGAATCTCGTAAATAATAAATTTGATACCAAATTAAGTTGCCCATTATGTAGTTTAGTTGAAATCTTCCCTCCCCATAGGTAAAAATATATTGTTATTGTAAAAAAAAAATAATAATAATTTAAGCGTTTGATCTATTCTTGAGAAAGTCCATGTTCAACGCACAGAAATTCAACCATATGGGTTGGTTTTGTATCATAATTGTAACGGGACAGCTACTTTGGTTTTATTTTTGTGTTTGATTTTACGATTTGGCTCGTAGTTGGCTATCGATATCCATATAATTAAGATTCCTGCTTAAAAGACAATAATTGTTCAAAAAGTGAGTGTGAGATGACTCACCTCTACCCTACCATTATGATTTGTCTAGCCACCCCTTATTTTTCTTGGTTCATTGGTTTTATTTTGCCAATATTCAACGTTTAAATTCAATTTTTGGTAACATTTTTTTTCAGGAGAATTGGCTATTACCAGTATAAATAATCATTATCTTCTTTTGGCTTGGTCTCAATACATGATCAATTGTTTGCCAGACCATTTACAAATTCAGATAGGTATACCCTCTCCACATGCCTTAATTAGCCAAAGTACACCTTAATGATACAGAAATGGTTAAATCTATCCATGTACTATTTCCATCACTCATTACCCGGATTTAACAATTTTTCCAATTCTAATATGTTTTTTTGGATCAATCAAAGCATATGGAGAAGGTGTATCTTTGGTTGGAGCATTTGTATCCATACTTTCATATATCCATCTTAAACTTCTCAATAAACAGTCGAATACTTGATTATGTAGCCAAAAGAGAAAGTTTTTATCTATATATTGGTAACAACCAATTTCTTTGAAGAAATAGAGTGCATTTTTGCTCACCACCATTTAATGTAGTATATGCACACCATCCTATTTATCACCGTTAGATGAGTTTAATTTTGAGATTTGTGCTTATCCACTACACGAATTTCAAAATTCAAACTCATCTAATGATGATTAATAGGGTGATGAACATACATCACACTAAATGGTGATGAGCAAAAATGATCTCGAAGAAAAAAGATGAAAATGATGACATCTGAAATGCTTGATCAAATTACATCTCTATATTTTGCAGAGAAACGAAACCAAACATATGTGATCCATCTTGGCACATATTATATCCCATTCTTAAATGGTAACTTTTTTCAGATTAATCACTCCACAAATGTGATCCATCTTGGCACATCATGGCACATATTATATTCCATATTGCTTAATAAATAAATAAGTAAAGATTTGACCAACTATATATTAAAAAACCTAACCGGCTGAAAACCCATAAGAGAGAGAAAGCCCACTTGTCTGAATAGAAGTCTGGTTATGTATATATTAATGCAAAGGTGTGGTTCGCAGTTACTATCAGTCGGGCTCATATTGCCAAACCAGATTGGCGTGTAAGTTACGGAGCTGTTACTATCAAGATGGTGACCTCATATTGTCAATTGGGCTAATATTACGATTACACTCAAATTTAAGGGGATAAAATATAATTTTACCCATAAAATAAGTTCTAAGGCCCGTAGGCCTGGGCTCACTAGGGTTTTGGGTTAGGGTCAACGGGCCTAAGGCCCTAACAGGAAGGGCCCAAAGGCCTTTAGTTTACTAAACTAAATTAAACAAAACAATTTAATTAAAGGGTTGGGCTGGGTTTTCAAACGGCCTAAGGCCCGAGTTCTTCGAACGGCCCGAAGGCCTTGGTGTTGCTGGGTCAGGACGAGCCGGCCCAACGGCCTGGTCTCGACGGGAAACAAGGGACGCCGGAGCTTTTCCCAGCTCCGGCCGATGATGAACAACAACCCTAGGGTCCGATCTAGGCATAAAAATGAAGAGGGAGGTGAGAGGAGTAGTTTGGTACCTTTAGTTCGCCGTGAAAAGGATCGGAGGTGACCGGATTCTGGGTTTGAAGGTCACGGGTGCGCCGGGGTCTTTGGGTGGGTTCTGGGTGTCTCGGAGCTTGCAGAGACGAGGAGGAGTGAGGGAGAGAGACCACGAACCCGATGGTGATGGCGCGCCGTCGTCGGGGTGTGGGTGTGTGTAGTTGGGTACGTGAGGGTAGCTCGGGGAGGATGAGAGCGTGAGGGATAGAGAGGTGAGTGAGACCTGAGAGCACTTCCAGGAAACCCATTCACTATTTAATCCACCGTAAACAGTACCTTAACTGTCTTTTTCATTCCCACACCATTACATTTGAATAGTCCTGTAATAAAATATTAGTTTTTTTTTTAATAATACAAAATAATTTTATTTGTAATTTCGAATAGAATTTTTAATCAATCTCATTGTACCATTTTCTATTAAAAAAAAAATTTATTTTTTTATTTTTTCTTTTCACATGATGCAGCACATCATTCCAAAATCTTTTTTTTATTATTATTATTTTTCTTCTTTTCCCATGGTGCCAACGCACCATTCCAAAAACACCCAAACCCCTTCTTTTCAACCTGTGTTCCCCCCCCCCCCCAACGCACCCAAACTCTCCTCACCTCTCTTCCTCCATCTTCACCACCCCACCACTGCCTCTCTTCCTCGATCTTCACCATCCCACCCACCTCAGCCTCCATCAACGGTCTCGATCTTCCCCGCTTCCTAACCAAACTCTCTATCTCTCATCTTTCCCCCAAAAACAAATCCCAAATCGTGCGATCTGGGCGCACCAGTGGAAGGAGGAGGATCGCGAGTGTGGGGTGCGGCGGCAACTACGGCGAAGGAGGGACTAGATTACTACCATTTGTCTATGAGTGTTCATCAACCTCAGCAACGAACTTTGGCGAGAGCCTTTGAGTTCGAACCTTGGGTTTTACAATTTTTTTAATTTTACTTTTTTTTATTAATTTTATATTATGGCTGATGTCGCCCTGACGTCAGCCCACTTCACGTTGCCTTCGGGCTCTCAGGCTAGCAACTTGTGCCAGGCCTCTCCCTCAGGCCCGCTCGGGCTCCATCGCCAGCAAATGCTGGGCTTGGTTGCTGGGGCTCTCTGCCACTGTTCGCGGACCTGTCCCTCGAGGGAGAGCACACGCTGGAAGTGCTCTGAGAGAGAGTAGCCGGGAAGATAGAGATAAGGGGAGTGAGTTGAGAGGCTGCCACGTGGCAGCATCGGGGAGAAAGAGAATCAAGATAAAAGGTCTTGATTTAATTAGGATAAGGGACAAAATTGAAACTTCCACAACACTTTGGGGCAATTTAAGAAGTTACAATACTTTTCTTGGGTGGGGTTTAACATATGTAGTCGGATCATAGTCTTCTAGCCTTACTTGACCTCGTACCTCCTTGGAATAATTATCTCCTCTGGCTGAAACAAATATTGTAATTAATTTATTAACACTACGAAAAGCTAGGAAAATCCCCTTATAGTTTGTTCAAACAGAAGGTTTAAATATACAAAAAAATTCTATGCGACGTCATGGACACATACACATCGACCACGCACCGCCACATGGTCGCATGCCCTCACACACCGCCAGCTTGCGGCCCCATGAGCAGGTCATGCACCTGCACGCGCTGGCAGATGACAGGGGAATATCCCGTCAGATTTGACGGAGACATCTGTTAACGGCGTTACCTTAACAGCATCAGAATATTCCGTGAACCTTAACGGAATATTCCTCCTTCCCCGGTTGTCCTCCGCCGTCGCCGTCTAGTTTGCTTGATTCTGCAAATTTTGCCAAATTTTTTGTAAAAATTTTAAAACTTCATATCTTCCTCATTTCTCAACCATTTTTGAAATACTTATATATGGAAATGAAGCTTGGGAATTGAGATAGAAGCATTAGGCGAATATGCAGCCAAAACTTCTACCCCTGGGGCACATAAATCTGGCTGAAACACATTGGATCATAAATGTTATTATAATCTCCGCAAACATGAAAGATAACTGTAGGTGACAATAAATTAACTTATACCTTGATAATATCGGGTGGAATTAGATTCGGTCATTTAGTGAAGAAATTATGACGAGTTCTTGCCTTATCAGTATGAGAAGTAATCAATACCTGGTGGAATTCATGTAGGAGATGACCATATTATGTTCTTCACTGTTTAAAGTCGTTGCAGCTAACGGGAGAACATTAGAAGCATCGTCAATGTTCATGTAATCGGGTAAAACCGAACCTAGTGCACCAACTTTGTATGCCTCCTTAACTCCAGTAGTGCATCGATCACATATCACAATCTTTTCCTTCACTAATGTACTGTCCAGACAACCTAGTTCACAGTTTCTGCAATGCAACAAACCAGTACTGATGTATCTTATTAATTACGATTAATTTTTAAAGTTAAAAGGTACAAGAGTTACCTGGCGTCTTGTTCCGTGCAATTACTTGAAGCATCTTTTCCATGAACCAGAGGAAAACTTGTTCCATTTAATGTGAAAAGTGTTCAAAGAATTCCCCTGTTTGTGTAAACACCTTGGAAACAATATAACAAAAAATTAGAAATATATAAGTTTATTGGTAAAAAAATAGAGAAAGTCGATGATACATACAACTAGTGTCTGTCCATTTCCTAGAACAACTTTGTCAATGATCCGACTATCCATGCTACTTGCTGCAACTGTAAGCATCCATGGTGCCACACTTGAAACAGTAGCACCCAAAGGACCATTATTACCCGCAGCGTTTGATGTCAATATCCCTTTCTCCATCGCATGAAAAGCACCAATTGCAATACGATTCTCATCGAAATCTTTTATAGAAGAAGAAGCAATTGAAATTGAAATAATGTCGACTCCATCAGCAATAGCATCGTCAAAAGCAGCCAACATATTACGTGTATTGCAGGATTGTGCCAGCAAGCATACTTTACTCCTCTTGCAGTACCTTCTGCTAGTCCATAAAAGCTCACATCCTTTACAGCGTTCCCTGCTGCCGTTGAGGCGGTGTGGGTTCCATAACCCCATGCATCCCTTGCAGACTCTGTTATGTAATATCGCGCCCCAATGAGTTTGCTGCAAAAAGAACCATTATAAGAAATGAAAAAAAGACGATTACTTGTAGGTTTTTATCCTATTCGAAAAGAATTTGTATATCAATTTGGTGAATATGATTTGGGGCCCAAAGTATTAAATTTCCATGGTTTCACACAAACAGTAGATTGTGCAAGTTTATGGGAGCATTAGGTAATTTGAAACACCAAAAGTATGTACCTATGTCGAAGAGTGTCAACACCAAGAGTTAAGAAGGCATAGTTCCCACAAAGAGATTCAAGAGTGTCTTCAAATAGTAGTTATTATATCAAAAATATATATTATTATATCAAAAAGAAGGAAAATCAAACCGATTTCTCGATTCAATAGAAGCCCAAAGAGGTGAGGTGAATAGGGTCCCATCCCAAATAACGAGAGATATGTAAAAAGCAAACAAGGTAGCTGTAGTGACTCCTAGAGAATTACAAAGAAATTCTCTTCTCCTTTCGTTCTCTTCTTTCTTTTTTTGGTTGGCAGGGTCAGGTCACTGGAAAAGAGTGTGAGGTTTATTAAGCTATAATTTGAGTCGTGAGCTAGATTGTGAACATTTGAGGTAGAGACTACTAAAAACTGATGAATGGTGAGGAAGCATGCTTGTTGCAAGTGAAATTTTTGCCGCCTTCACAAGTACCTTTCCATTTCTTCGGAGGCGGACCAAAACCTTCATCTTTAAAGCTCTCCACCTCCGGCCATATTCCACTGTCAATCACACCAACAACAACATCACTCTCAACAGAGGGATTTCGATTGATTTTCTCACTGAAACCCATAAAGTCCCAAGATCTTGTTGTTTGAAGTTACAATTCTCTGCTCGGAAAGACAGAGACCACTCCCTTCATATCTTCAATGTTCAGTTCAAATACTCGATAATTCTCAAACCAAAAAAAGTATTACTCGTTTCTAATGGCATAGATAAGAAAGTGCCTTTGATTACTCACTAGCAAGTTTCTCTCTTTCCTGTTCAGTGAGATGGGCAGCAAATCCATTGAAACTCCTTATGTAACTCCTTACCAATAAGTTTTCAGCAGAATCGCTACGGAGGAGAGAAACACGAATTGAAGACCACTTTATGACTAATGAAAAAATAAAAAGAAAACTACATACATAGATTACATACCTTTCCTGGACAACTCTCTCTAGAATACTAAGGTGGTGAGACAGCAATGTTGAGAACACATGATCAGGAAGCGACCCCAAGTACACGATGTAGACCTGCATCACCCATCCATCATTGTATTCACAATCAAGCACTAGCACAGCTGAAATCCATGGCAGATTGTATCACTGCATAATCTTACGAGCTGTCAAGCAAAAGAGAAAACTATTGTTTTGCAGCTAATATAACTCCTCATACCTTTCTATCATCACAAGTTAATGTGCATAATAAACTCAGAGTGAGGAGGAGAATGGGGAAAGGATGATAAAACAGAAGAGCTCCAAGTCCATGCTTAGCCATTGTCATTTTCTCAAGGTGAAGATATAGGACTTTATATACTGGGACTAAAGGGTGCAGTATCTCTTCATCTACAGGAAACATCCATAAGCAAATTCACTGGTGGAAATGTTGTTGCTATCATTTGTGTTTTGTGATCCAAGTTGCATGCATAAAAGAGAGTTGCTAGCTAGTCACATTTTGTAGATTCGAACTGAACTGAACAAGCGATCGCAATCACGATATCATACCAGTAGTCGCTATAGGCCAAAATTCAGAAGGATCATTGCTTCGCATTGCAGCAAATTCAGGGACCAACGTTCACGAATTTTTTGTTCAGGATCAAATCTTCAACTGGGCGAAAATCCAGGGACCAATGCTCCCCTTTTCTTCAATTATAAGCCAAACATATATCAAAATGCATACAAAATGCTATCAAGTTTTATTATGAAAGAAATGAACTAACAAAGATACTGAAATAACATGTCCAAGAACAATGCCTTGTCAAGGAAAGGAAAGCAAACTGACATTAGGTATATGTATGCTGCCATTAAACTTTGAACTAAAATTCTTTTATTATTGTAGACCATTTGAAAATGTAAGTCTCATCAATACTCATGTTCTAGGTTCTGTGTATACAACAATCGCACTTCTAACGGTACCATCAGACCAAACAAGGGCCGCAGACACTTGTGATTCGAATTGCAAACTGCTCCCAACAACGGTGACATCAAAGGTCTGCTCCTCATT